CTTATCGTTAAATTGTAATCTGTCCTTTATTAGGAACTCTCTCTATCTAACGCAATCAAATAAACGAAAGAAGAGTAAGACGAGTGTTTTTTTTACCGCTAAACCGCACCAATACCCTTCACCACAGTAACCCCGCACATACTAACCGCATGTTAATTCTCGAACAAAGTTGAATATTCAAAATGGCGGGGGAAGAAAAAAGAAGCTGTGAACAAGAAGAACTTGAAAATACAGTAAATAAAAAACAGTTGCAAGACGAGGAGGATGAAGAATTAAAAGCTGATAAAGGAAAGAAACGAAAACTGAGCAAGGAAGACAAGAAAAATGCCAAGGTTTGGAAATATTTGCATCAAAACGTGAGTGTGTAACTTTACTATTTGACTTGATAACTTTGTCTTTTGTAATTTTAGGAAAAAAAGGTTAAAGTTACAGCGAGGAAAAAGCCAGGTTTTGACGTAGAATTGTATAATGAAACGTCTTACTTCGTTAGAAACGGTAAGGGTGTTAGTCGTATGTGTTTTTAGTATTTAAATAGGCCCTTTGCAGTTGTAAAGGTCACCTGTCTGTACTTGTGAGCAAAATGTTGTATTTCATTTTAAATTGGTGATTCTTTTTAGCTACTTGTAAAGAACTGAATGAAACGATGCGTAGCCATCGATGTGCAAGGGAATGCAGTTTTATTACGATCTCTCGAAACAGGTTGTAGAAAGTTTGTTTGCTCACCAGTATATTCGCCCATGGGAATCAAAATGATTACTAAGCTGCAAAGGGCCTATTACTTTCCTTTGTTAAAATAAAAGTAAAAATAACGACTGACTGATCGACTGACTGAATGAAAGACTGAATGACTGACTGAATGAATGAATGACTGACAGATTGACTGACTGACTGATGGGAGGGTACAATCGATGAACCCCCCTATGGACCCCATAAAAATGAAAAAGATAAAAAAATAGATAATCAATAATCGTTGATTGAAAATATATATATACAAAAAATAAATAAACAATAATAAATAAAAGCTATTTGTGAATGGATGGATTGATTGATACACTTATTTCAATAGAGTTAGTCAACAGAAAAACTACAAAGCTGAGACCGGCAAGGATTATGGGTAGAAACAATTACATGTTTCAACCACTTGATAACTGCTGATGGACTTGAGATCTTTTACCAGTTACAGTCTCACCTCTGAGCATCCTCAACTGCTGCAATTTGTGTCAAAAGCTTTACTTGTTGGATAAGAAATATTTCCCATGATTCTTGACAATCACAGCTTTCTAGCTTTTTGGTGACTAACGTTATTGACTTAAGTATATTTTAACAAATAAAAGCAAAAGTGAGTGAGATATGATATTTAGTTAAAAGACTATTAAATACATTTTTTACACTTGGTGTTTGTCTGGTAAAATTGTTCATTAATGACATTCAATGAATGTTGAGTCATGGCCATATATGGATTATATCGTATTACATTACCATCCAGATTATAAAACAGCCACATAGCAAATATTTAAAAAATACTGGAGTTCCACCATAAAAATACCTGGGTAATTCAGCACCATGATGTTTCCACTTCAATGACAAAAACTTGCATTTCCCTTAAAGTTGTGTGGCAGTTACGTCTCCGTTTTTACATCAAACGCATAGTGTAATTTATAGCAAAGGGTCAAAAGGTCAATGAGAATTCAAGTTGTTGAAACCAATCAATCAAGTTCATCAACTTCAACATGTTAAATGTCAAAAACATGTATAACAGCCAGCTAATATATATTCCACAAAATTGTTATGCTAAGCAAATATATAAAAAACAATCAAGTGATACACACACGCACACACACAAATGAGAACATCGCATTAATATTTTTCAATGTTTCATTCTTGTTTTGTTTTTTTAACCGACCTCCTCCTCTTAAATGTTTTTGTGTTTTTTTTTATTTACAATAACATGCATTTATTAATATTTTAAATTTTTTTTTTGCTATTGCTGTTGCTAGTTTTTCTTTTCTTTTTTTCTTATTTAATCCACCTCCTCCTCTATTATTTACATGACATTTGAATGTTTTTTTAAATGTTTTCCTAATCATATGTTCTTTTCTTACTGTGATAATTTTATTTACTATGATACTTTTGTGTCTGTTTGACTGTTAGATATTGACTAGTATTTTTTATTTCGATGGGTTAAATGCCTTCAGCAATATGCTTTACTGGACTTGGTGTTATGTAAAAGTCTCCCCGTATTAGATTCACTAATAATACAATACATGGTTTGATGTAAAATATAAATGTCTCCCTGCCCACATTTGTCTCATAAATATTAATGCACATGGTACTTCTTTCAGTTCATCTACTCGACAGTAAAGCTATGTTTCTTAAACACCAAAAAATTGATATAAAATTAAAACCAAAAGACTTCAAGGATAAGTAATAGATTTAAGTACATAAACTAATATACTTAAATAATATATTATGAAAATGTAAAATTATGATTTAAGGATCTTTACTAAAATTACTATTCACCTGGACTCATGACCATCATAACCAATACACCTCCTTGGCTGGGGCGTAATGTTTTCCCATTTAAAACCTTGTGAAATTCCCTAGAGTATCATTTCTTTGTTTAACATTGTTTTTCTCAGTTGCAAATTAAAACAAAGATTCAATTCAAACAAAGAATCATATTCTCAGGGGAATGACACATGGTCTGAAATGGGAAAACATCATGTCCAAGACGACAAGGTCTATTCAGACTTACTAATTTGATTAGTAAAGTGAATGCCTGCTTCTTCAGTTAAAGACTGCTGCTTGAATTTTTTAAGTGCATAATGCAGTAATGTTTAAAATATGAGCAATCACCAGCGGGAGGTGAATGATTGTATGGCTGATACAACAAGGACACAAATGTTGTAATCTACTTATCATATTCATTTTTAATGAAGATACTGATTTCTGAAGAATGCATTTCAAAAGTAATGTCATTCAAGAAAATACAGTTTCAGTATGCATACAATGTTTTCTGACGTCACATATCATTTGGTATGGGCATCCTTCATTGATTATTGGGTTTATGTAAAGAAAGCAAGATGCAGGGTTTTTATCTAGTAGGTGGGACTAGCTTTTGAAAAGGCTCTACTGGGAAACCATCCTCCTTAATATGCCAGACCTACATAATTTATGAGTATTCTGCATCAGATATACAGAATACTAATTAGCTTCCAGCTGATCTGAGAAAATTCATTAGCCAATCAGTAATCGAGAAAATCTTCAAAACTAAGGTGTCACTCTTTCTTTTGAAACTGGATTATTTCCATGCCACCATATAAAAAAAACATTGCTAATAAGGGATTTATAACAATTACACATTACTTTCATTACTTTTATTTCAATGGTGGTCACCCGGCTAGCTCAGTTGGTCAGAGTGTCGGTCTGTTGTGAGKAAGGTCGTGGTTCAAGCCTCTGGGTCTTAAAATAATTAACTTGTAGTTAAGKCTTCTCGGACAAGGACTTAAAACCATAGGCCCTTTCTCCCAACCCTTCCTAACCTACAGCAAAAATGGGGGACATAAAAGAACCTGTAGAATTATTCGTATAAGAGTAGGGGATTGTGTTCCGGTTCAACAGCCTATCCCAATCTGGACGCATTAATACTAACTTACTAACAAATTACTCAACATGATTGTAAGCTGCACAGCTGCTACTAGCGCCTAAAATATGCAGCCCGTAAAGTCCTCCACTGGTCATGATTGTGAAGCGCATTGACACCATGTATCAATTTTTGCCAGCTTCATGACACCTCAGTTTCGCATGTCACTATTTCAGATCAGCTGGTCAACTATATGGGGTTCAGAGTGTTCTCATGTGACCCAATTTGTGCGATTTCATTGGGTTTCACCCTAAACACATTATTCATAAATATAATCCCTAATATTTCAGCACTTTTAGTGTTGATTATGCATGAAGTGAATATTTGTATGGTAAAATATTTCTTGTTTTGAGTGTAGCTGCTTTAGTTTATACTTATGACCCCTTATTGTTATGAGGCATGGCTAGTGGATATGAATAACAAGCTGCATGTCTTTTCCRTATATAATATTATACACCCACCCCTCTAACTCAATGTGTTGAGGTATGTTTGTGGATATGACTGCACAGCTTTACATACAAAGGTGTATTATTTACAATTTAGGAGGGGAACACTACTAAGGTGTTACCCTCTAGAGACTGCACAGCTACAATGGAAAAACAAATTTATTTGAATCTATTACTTTTAGTGCACATTTAAATGATCTTAGGATGATCTACGATTATAGTTAATAATAACCACATGTATATTTTTAGACAAGCTATCAAAGTCATGGCYCATGCACACTCCTAAATGTCAATCAATGACTGCAGGGGTAACATCTTCRGATTGTATTATTCRGTCTTTTAAAATAAATCCACCCAGTGTTCAAATACTCAATTATATAACATTTGTCATAGGAATCAAACAAAATGCTACTCTGCAATCACACGTACAAAGCTGTCTCATRGTTCACCAAATGTTGGGTAGGATCAGGAAATCTCTAAAATTGATATTCCATTTGCTAAATGGATATAAAAATATTAGGTCAACCACTGACCACATTTTCTTATTATGTCCACATTCTTATAAAAAGCCATCAAATAAGAAAATAACTTTATCATTAAATTTTAAAATATTTTTCAAGACATTGTGGAAGTTCTAATAAAGGAACATACTTATTCATTTGTCTTGTGGTTGAGTGTCATTTGTAAAAAGCTATTTTGACTGCTTGAACTTGCTAGTCTTTATTAGGAGGTGCTGTACACTGGATGGCATGTCTGTTATATACTACTCGTTGCATCATCTGTGGTGTGATTATTGTTGGTATCTACCCTTCAGGCCTATAGAAATGTTATTAGGGTATACACCCAGAGTTAAGGAAGCCATTCAGATCTGACTCCACCCTCAATATCAATAGGGACAGTGGTAATAAAATTTCTGAAGCATGGATACTGACATTAAGAACACACTCTGTGCAAAGATGTAACAACCAAACTGCCAATCATAGCACAAATGTTCTAACCAATCACAGCATAGATGATCGTACAAGTGATAGGGTTAAGGTTAGGGTTAGCAATGATACACCTATCCAGTCTACATCATCACCTGACATTGCTGGCCTTATACAATTAATGACCCTAAATCATGATGCATATGAATAAGTATAGTTATTATAACTTTATCATTTTATTAAAGAATATACAAATTTATTTCTTTAACATTATCTTACGTAAAAGTGTCAAGCAAACAGGAAATCACTACTTATTCATTTAAGGAACAGTGTTATGATTATACAGTATGTCATGTCAATGTCAATGTCCACCGAAGAAAGACATTTACACATTTACACATTTAGACTAAAAGAAATATCATGTGTTTCCTCGAACGTTTTGGCATAAAACAAAGGCTGAAATACCATTCTCCATCTTAAATCCTCATCAAATTGGTGGGGCATTCTGGATTTTTGATTCACGAGTTGGATTTTTGATTCACGAGTTGAATTTTACATTTAAAGTTCAGACWGACGCACACGAGGCAAAGAATACATAATGAAACATGTGATATTTCTTTTAGTCTAAYTGTGTAAATGTGTAAATGTCTTTTTTCGTTGGACAATGTTAATGACATTGACTGTATATACATTGTGTGCATTTTTTCCCCTATTTAGCCTCTCCTCCCCACTCAGCCCTTGATAATTCCAGTTCTGGTTCTTGAAGGAAGATAGCCTCCTCGGCAGACAAATCTACTCCAGAATTAACTCTAAAAGAAAACCTGTGAAGAATAGGGTAGGTTGTGGAGGAGGCTAGTAGAGTATATTTGATCACTTGCTAYAAAGTGCATGTTCAAATGTGAAATGTTCTGATTTCAAGGCCATAACATTTAACATGCATAACAGTGTGTTAAAATRAAATGACAGCAAATCAGCTCATTTTTGATAAAAGGAAAGTGGTAAATTATTGTACTGTTTAATAAACAAGCAGGAATGTTTTYTATGGTATAAAACCATGGGGCATAGGCGATTGGTTTTAGATCCAATAAAACATGATCTGCAAGTTTATTGAATGGCTTCAAAAACTTAGGAATAATTCTCAAACCTTTGGTTGAATTAGAGCGACAATATATGTAGTGAGCATGGACTTTTATACTTTCATAGACTTGTCGAGCATGCCATACTCAAGACAGAGGCATTTATTGATRATATTTCAGATGTCGTTGATGATCGTATGTGGGACTGGCTAAACCTGGATGCACCTTTATCTCTGATAAAGTCTTCCTAATTAGTATTCTTTATATAAAGAAGGCTCCAAGTGATTCAAAAGCTCATTAATTATTCATTAGTTTTTAAACGTTTTTAAGGCCTCACTATGTTTATGCCATAAGAATCATACTGTTTTGTAGGCATTACTGAACCCCTAATTTTAGTTCCGTAAATACTGACTCGGCTGCCCGGCATAGGAAAAACACACATTCTGGCATAAAATCATTTTGTATACTGACTTGGTCCACATATTAAACTAGTCTTACAAACTTGCGTGATCTTTTTCACCTGGTTTTCTATCTTCCTCGATGGTTGCACCAATTAAGAATCCAGATGAGTAACGAAGTTTTCGTTTGCGTCTGTTGATGGAATCCTTATCCATTTTGTAGCGCTCTTCTAGTCTTGCCTTTGCTCGCTCTGATCGTCGACGTGATGAATCACCAGTAAGTGGTACTTTCTCGCTGTCAGTTACACAAGACTGTAAAAAGCAATGATTGCTGTTAGATTATTAAATGGTGTCTTTTCTCGAGTACGAACATGCTGTACTGTACTGAGAGAGACAGACTTACTTAATAATAGGGACCCTAAGGACGCTCATGGGGCAAAGAATCTCATCGTCAGAAACTACATCATAATAGAAGTAGCATGAGCAAATAAAAAATGGGATCACCGACTTTAGTTAGTCGTAAGAATGCGTGGAATTTCGCCTTTTTTCATATTTTTTTAATTTTATTTTTATTTTTTCAAGCCATATTTTACTGAAAAAGTAAATTGATACTCCCCATTTTAAAWTTATTTAGCATTTAGAATCTGTTACAAATTAGACAAAAATATCATTGGGCGACATGTTTGGATTTGAGCCATCACGTTGCGTAAAATTCTATTCCAAAATATGTTATTTTGATTTGTCAGACCCTTTTTTTGAAAGCCTGAATTTATGAAGTACTTTCAAAAAACGGAAAGAAAAAGGGGGTTTTGACTTTATTTTAGAGCAATAAGAGATTAATAAAGCTGACACCAAAACGAATTGCGCGAGCATAGTTTAAAAWTGGATTTCATGCACCCGCCATTGTCCTTGACATCCTCGTCCTTGACATCCTCAACATCATTGACTCCGACGAAGGACTTACGTCCGAAACGTCAGTCTATTATTGTTCGTATTTACGGTGATAAAATTATCTACTACGACACATCCTCAACATCAGTTGGTGCTTTTTCACATCTTAGAGAGTACGGGGAAAACAAGAATGACAGCGCGAGCATAAAAAGAGACATTTTTAAAACGTACTCGCACYATCTGGCATCCGCATCCACGTTCCTAGTAAAAGGGAGAAGAGGCAGTTATCTTGGATATACCTACCTCAGTACATACTTTTGGTGTTTGGTATGACTTTGTTGCATTGGTAGTAGAGTGCTGGTAATCTGTAAGCAATGGCGCTTTTTCTGGTATTTGTTCCAGCTTTGAGTGAGCAGGTGATGTACCAATACTTCTTGGTAGACTGTAATAACGGTCCTTRTGTTCATTGGATGGCGATAGCTCTGCAGCTTCTGCTCCATCTGGCTGTCGTTCACTCGAAAATCGAGAATGTGTTTCTGAACTCGCTTTTCTTACTGGGAATGTTTGTAGTTGAATGACTTCACTGTTTGGATAACTTGGGGTGTAAGGTATTGGTTGAGACTCGATTTTCCTGCAGAATCAGTAGATTACAGTCAAATAAAATAGAGTCAGAATTGTAGGGTATTAAGTTATTGCGCGGTAATCGGTTAATATTCGGTGCTTATTCTTACCTTCTGTAAGAATCGTCTAGTTCAGGTGGACTTTCCACAATAAGCGGGGGATAATCAGGAGGTTCGTTGACTTCTTGATTTGAACCGATTCGGGACAGTCTTTTTGATGAACCTCTTAAGTCACCTATTGATTCTTTTGCTGATGGTCGAGTTACTGTGTATGTCTTACCGTCTGGGGCGTTGGCCGCACCATAGTACTAAAACAACACCCAGCAGGTTATTATTAGCACACATACTAAGGGTAGTAAATAACTACAGATCACCAGGTCTTACCTGTATTGTATCTGTTGTACTGTAGTAATTTCTCTTTTCTTTGTGTTCTCTTTGTTGAATTTTCTTAATTTGATACAGGAATGAGAAATTCTTTATCTGCAGATATGATGGGAGTTACTAATCAGTTACTAAACACTACACCATAGACTGAGCAGATTTCGTATAACTGTGAAAAGCTCACGGCACGAGCGCGGTGGTAAAACGTCAAGGTATACTCCACGCCAGACCAATCACATCGCTAGAGAATTCACTCTTCATGTAATCCAATGCCCGAAACAATCTTGGGTAACAATTTATAGAGTAGAAAAAATACGTAGCTAGCGCAGTAAGGAATTTTGTATTGTTCCTTTTCCAATAACGTAAAGCACCTCTACCATAAAAATCTATCCTTTTTAAAATCAGCGTGGGTTAATTACAACAGAGCTAGGCTCCAACTAGGTAAAAGCCCAAAAACGAATAAGCCTTTTCATAATTTAAGAATCGATTCCACTGCGCATGCGATTTTATCCCGAATTTCTACCTTCTTTTGTCTAAACCTTCTTTTGTTCTTAATTAAACAAAAGAAGGTGAGAAATTCGGGATAAAATCGCATGCGCAGTGGAATCGATTCTTAAACTTTGAAAAGGCTTATAAGAATTTAGTAGTTGATTTTTGTGGAGGGAGGAAAACCGGAGAACCCGGAGAAAAACGCTCGAACAACAGGAGAGAACCAACAAACAGACGAGCATATAATTTACTTTAAATACATTACTAATTTTATCATAGTTAAGCAAGGGAATTATCAACATACAACTTAAGGTCGAACCAGAGCATAATTCTTGTTGACTTGTCGTGCGAAATCAAAAAAGACATTGGGGGATAGGACCTTTTTCATGCCGCGCCCAGATATCAGAAAAACAAATACACAACAATTTTTACAGTTTGCTCAAGACTCAACTTTTTAAATTAGCTTTTACGTAGTCATGTCATATATTATTATAAATAATTTTATTTTTAAGACAGCTCAAATATTCATATGTAAATATTTTAAATTCATTTTAGCAAATTATTGTAATGCGCATTCGTTCACATCTAGAATGTTAGACTGCGCAATATTAAGTAATAAACATTTTTATTATGATCATCATTATTATTATATCACACAGTTTTGCTCGCTTGGTCCCGGCACTGCCAGACCAATCACATTGGGCGAGRAAAAAATCAGCCAATTAAACTTCTAGGAAATATCACGGCACGGCGCGCTCACAATACCACCACAATGCATTACGCTACATCACCACRCCACACCACACCACCTCACACCACACCACTACACCACACCACAATAACTAATAAAATGTTCATTGGCAGCTGTTTCATCTTACCTCTTTGTCCAAAAGCCCAAAGACAAGTAGTGTGATGCCCTAAAACAAGAAACATTCAACAATCATAGTACTGTTGTGCAATCATACTTTTCCCAAGATATCCCTTGGTAACCAGCCGTAAGCCAATAAATTCGGAGATACGATAACTAAGGTTTACCTGTAGGACACATAGGCCCGCAAACAGATACTCCCACAGACGAGCCTGATGATGCTTGACATAAATAGCAGCAGCAACCCAAGTACCTCCTATGACTATCTCTAGCAGTACTGCCAATAACAAAGCCACGCTGTAAGAAACAAGAATAAAAAAAGAATATTAGTGTACCTTTGGTGTGTGCAATTGAAAAACGCAACATAATCATGCATAAGACTATATCTACCTGATTTTGGATTTGTCTGTAGAATCCAAAACTCGACCTTTCAACACACATATCAAGATGGCGAAAATGAGAGTCACCTTAAAAAAATCAGTGTCACTGATCATTATTAACCGGCTTTTTGTAATCATATAAACCCTAGTATTTAAATTATTATTATTAGCATTATTTTCATAAATCAAACGCTTACTTAATTAGAAAATTGTTTTGTTACCTACTGAAAGATCACTAGTGAATTAGTAAACGTGCATAGTTTCAACGTAAGAAGGCAAATATTCGTAGAGTTACGAGCAATTAAAATGTGAGGGGGGAGGGAACATGAAAATAAGGCTGGCAACGCCTCGGTTCTCTTTCTAATACAAATCCTTCTCATTTTAAAATACTATAACTTTTCAGGAGTTTGTGCCAGAGCACTACAATGAAAGTTTGCTCAATTAATAATAATAATGATGTTATCTATTTACATAGCGCTCTTTTCCATATGCATATGCTCAAAGGCGCTTCACCATGAGTTTTTGAACGAGAAGTGCCTCAAAGGGTGGTCACTGCCAGGGTTTCTTTATATCCTCAGTGATTCTTTTACGTCCCTCCGATATTGATTAGTAATGATGAAGTGTGCCCGCCATTTAAAGTGGTCATCCGAGCCACTTAAAGGTCTAGCCATTTGCAGATGTAATTACAAAGGCAGTACCTTCTCAGTTATTTTAGGACCCTGAATGTTGGTCCGGCCGAGGCTTGAACCACGACCTCCCGCACAACAGACCGGCGCTCTTACCAACTGAGCTAACCGGATGGCGGTTACTAATGTAAGCATCTTGTTTCAAGTACTGGCTAGGATGACTTTCAGCAGTGCAATGGCTAGACATGTTCTTTCTCTATGSCTTGTTGAACAGGGCCGGTATATGAAGTGAGCTTGAAACAGTTAACTTACGAAGAAAAATGCAGCTGCAGGACCTGCAAATGCCCACATCAAGAGCCGATCTTTGTAGTCTAACCAACACCTAGTGTAAAAAAGGAAATGACAGTATATGAATGTAACGCTATAACAGTATGTAGTACGGATAATGCTTACCAATCTGAGTTGCCGTATCCTTTTAATTGGAAGATGCCAAGTGACGCTCCGACCACCACAGCTGGCAACACTTGAATAAATATAAGGATATATAAACATATTACGATTTTAGTATTAATACTCAAAAAAAAAAAAAGAAAAATAAGAAAAGAAAAGAAAAACGCGAGAGAGAGAGACGGATGAATAACTTACACCATCCAATGATATAGAACCATTTTATTCTTGAACGGTTTTTGTTTTTCCCAGTGACCAAGGTCATGTAGATTTGAAGGCATTTTACGATTATCCAACAGAACATGGCCATGAAGAAATAATGAAGAAGAGCGGCTACTAAAACACATACAGCCTGTAGACAAATTATTGTACATTATGTACATGTCAAGAATTTATCCCAGACCATAAAAAAACATACATCCAATCAGAATGCAGGTAAGACGTATATTCGTAGTTATTTCATTCTACTTTTCCATCAAACAATATGTACATTGAATCGCTGCATTTACATGTTTTACAATGTGGGATAAAATAGTCATACAATGTTTACTCGCCTTGAGGCTCTTGTGTACACATAAAAAAGTATTGTATAACTAGTATATAGTTGATACTGATATCAATGCTAGCTGCAACTCACCTTGATCTTGGTCAGCTTTAAAGCACCAATAAAAAGGCCAACGGCTGCAGCGATAGCAAAGTACAAGTGAAGATGAATGACGGAACGTTCCGATTTTCTTTTGCTTTGGTTTTCGGAAAAAAAAGAAAAAGAAGCAGCACAACTTTTTTAAAACATCAAGGAACTTCTAAGGTTTTTTTAATATACGGTAATATCAATAATTGATTATTTACCAGTAGAGACAAAGATGTCTGATCGCTAAAATGAAGACAGCAAGCAACAATATACCACAGCCAATGTAGACAACTAGTGAAAAGACAAGCTCCTTGAAAACAAGACAAGTTCACCGGTTTAGTATAAATTTCTTGATCAACTCTAACAGCATGCAGGGTAACAAATGAAACCATTACAGGCTTGGATACCTTGTCATATACCGCTAATGAAGCGAAGCTAGTCATGTGATCACACTGACACAGGGTGCCATTATCACTACTAACAACCACACGGCAACCTTCTGACGACCAGCTACCTCCACGATCAGGATCCCTGTTCAGTAAGTAGTGTAAAAGTTAGCCAATTAGTAACTATATTGACATCCTTCAAAACTCGCTATACTGGCGGCGTTCTTTCAAAACTCACGCGCCACTCCACTGATCAGCTCTGTAGCCTGTTCCTGATGGAAACGGGAGCGTGAGTAATGCAAGAAATCTAGCAAGATAATGCCTGATCGTATTAATCTTACAGTCTTCTTACGTTTTAAAATCCCAGAAGACACACTTCGGCACTGCACTTTGCTTTGTAGTCTACAATAAAAAAGAAAGGAAAATGTAAGCCTTGTGAATGCCACTTTATGGGTCTGCCGTAAAGATCTTTTAAGATCATGTGATTACAACAGTATTGAATCCCATTGCAGTCAAACCACCTCAAGCGTGAATTTTTGATTCTTGATTTCATTATTCGATTCGAGCATTCATTATTTAAAACGAATCTTCAAAGCGGCCTAGCATAGAAAAAAGCCAAGCATGTATGCAGCTAAAATGCAAGAGCAACTTTTTGTGTAAGGAATAATTAATCACTTACCTTCGGTTTCCGCTATAAACAAGAGCCTACGAACCAAGTTAACCGCACTTTCAAACTATTATCATTTTGAATGTTCGAATCGAATAATGAAATCAAGAATCCAAAAAATCAAGTCATTAATGACCTCTACGTGTTCACGTTTGACGGTTTGACTGTGGTAGAATTGAGCTATAAAAGAAAAAGAAAGGAAAAAGACAGCGGATATTTGTAATTGAGAGAACAGYTGCAGTTGTTAAGCAAGAAACATCACCTTTTGTTTGACAAGTGCAATTTTCACAGGCGCTGGGAGTTTACCATCATGCATTGCAGGACTAGGATATAAAGAAGTTGAGATAACAGACGACGAATCGACATCAAATCTAAAAAGATACCAGCAAAATAAATCAGTGAACAGAGTCGAGATTAGTGACAAGACGAATTGAACAAAATATTAAGCGACTTACTTTTCTACTCCTTCTGCTCGATTTGGTAATATGTTACCAAGACCTTTGTAGGTGATCCCTACAATTTTGATAGATTGCAGTCCTGCGTATAAGCATACTTCATTATCAGTTACAACTCTCTCCTGGGGGGTGTATTTAGATCAGTTGTATTATTACCCGATTTGTAGTCATGAAAGACCTCGCCAGGAATRATGACTTGGGGATTCTGTTCGCCTTCCGGATATTTATGTCCGTCATAAAGAGCTTTGGCTTGATATACTCCTAGCTTCAATCCTTTGGAAAAATTATAACAATCAACTTCTAGATACGTATATTGTGGTCTAAAATGCTCAGTATTGAGCGAATGACCTAACTGGTATAAATGTATATGAAAATGTTGGCTGRAAAAAAAAATTATCAGTAGCCTGCCGGCTGTTTTATGAATCGTACCAATGTTATCTGTGTCAAGTAAAAAGGATGAGTTTCCACTTGCTTGTAATGTTACAACATCGTCAGCCAGGGCTGATGTATAGTCTTCCATCAATTTCATAACCTCAGTGACGCCTTTACTGTCCTGTAAAACAACAAGTACAAATGTGGTAATGATATWCAGCCATGATGATGTGTGTAATCAGCAAGATACCCATATATACACTCAATGTGGCGGCAATAAATATAATCTAGGATGGGTGGCTCTTTTGCAGCGTGAACAACTATCTTTTGACAAAGACGGGGATATAAATGTTAAGAGGCTAAGCTTAGTTTGCAGCCCCCTTCCCTCCCCGCTGCCCGGCTAAGACTCAATGTCCCAGGGAAATCAGAAGCAGAAACCGTTGTAATATCAAATTAGGATTAGTATTATCGAACCTTTTGRATTTTCTCCCAGTGTTCTTTATTGTCTTCTGCGAGAATGTTACTGCAAACTTTAGTGACAGTCTGAAAACAATGTAACAGAAAAGTTTTGCCAATGAACACTAATATTTAGCTAATATCTGTTAAATGTTAGAATTGGATAAAACTGCAGAGTACGATCAACAAATGAACCCTTCGTGAATATTATAATGGATGGTTTAGTAATTACTTTTAGTTCTTCAGTCTTTGACGTTTGAGTTCCAGGAGTCTTGGCATCGTTCAATAGCTCTTTTACAGTCTCAAAAATAATGATTAAATCTCCTGAGGTCAGCGTTTCCTGCTTTACACCAGTTCTTTCTTCGAGGACTTTCAAGACAGCCGCTGCTGTGGTATTCTTTGCTTTATACTCTTTCAACTTAAAAAGAACAAGAAAAACAAACTGACACAATTTATATTAAATGCGCATAAGGATACCTYCTGTAAGAAAGGCAGATTTCGAGGCAATATTAAAAAATCTTGTGTTCTATTCAAATGTCATAATTTTGCAAACAAAGAAGCTTTTACAAAAAGAAACCATATTGAAGTCCCAGAGTTTGGGCTAGCTGTGGTTAAAGAAGCAGATCTATTTCCGGTTATTTGTACAGATTGATTGGCCTTCTGATTGGATAAAACGAGGTGGGAACTTGAAAAACCGGTTTTTTGGTTTGAGCGCCACGTTTAAAAATCCAAGCCCCCCAAAAATCTTTCTCTTCTCGTGTGCCTTTTGTCCTTCGACGTTCATGTTGGGATTGTTGGGTGTCTTTTCTGTTCTAAAAGAAACAAAACTTCAGTACAAAGCATTACTTCGCACTGGCTGGACACAGCACTTCCTTTTTGCCATAGAATGTTAGAAAACATGTTGTTCATCAGTCCGTTCTCTTGACTTTAAAGCAAGACTCGTGCAAGAAGACGCACACAAAACAATACTGTTAGGAGACCAGAAAACAAAAGGTACTCTTATTTAAGACTATTTATTGTTACTATAATAGTTCTTTTTTTTCTGTACCGCTGGGGCTTTGCGTAATTTTATTCCAGAGGAGTTCGGACTAGAAGAAGGCTTTCAATTTAAGCTTATGATGCTTTTAAGTACAGCAACTAAAAAATGTTTTAAAAGCTATCAAACTTGTCGCTTTTTAAACTTCACTAGTTTTTCATAGTAAAGAGTTGCTTCAGTTCGATATTCTTAAACAAAAATTACTAAACTTTTATGCTAAGTTGAGAGCACGTGCAGTTACGCACGTTCACCATTTATAAATATTACTTACAAAAACGTACCAGCGATAAATAAAAATGCCTTGGTAAACTCGTTTACAATTTCGACTTAAAAAAACTGTAAACGTTTTGAAGCTTGTTTTTAACTTAGACCCAGCCAACATTAACTAAGATAAAAGATGTTTAGCTGATACCGTTTAGTGTTATTTTGTTCGCAATTGGTTTAATTATGCGTTTTTGAGAAAAACGCAGTTTTGGGATAAATCAGTTTTAACTAGCTCTTAAACCCTTTTCTCGTTCTTGAATATTTTCATTACAGTAATTATATTCATTYTAGTATGTCTATTTAATATTGCGTATTGTTCACCTATGCCTTATTGTTTATCTTTATTTTTATTTTTTTCCATTAAGAAAAAAATAATCTGCACTTAAACTTTCAAAAATACAACCAGTAGAAGTAGTTTTAATCGGCCGTCAAAAATTGCAAGTTAAAGATATGCAAAACTTCACTTTGAATGCTACCACATGACTTCAGCGAATATTCTGAAAATAAACTCGTGATTAATAATAGCTATGCTAATCAACAAAAGAAGTATTTAGATTGTGAAAAGTGTTTCTAATGTTGAAAATCTGGCTTATTTACCTTGTCTTTGACTGCGTCCATTTTGGGGGAGAATTTCCACTCTTTACCACTAGAACTTTTGACCAGCCTTTCTTTGACAACTAGGATTGCATGAATTATTAGCATTGCTATCGGTCAATCTGATAAAATCAAGTTAAAGCAAAGTAACTTTTATAATAGATTGGAATACCTGTGCAGGTGTTGAATCCGTCTCCTTCGAATCCAGACTTACACATACACCTATACGAACCAATAGAGTTGCTACATTCAGCATTGTGATGACATGCGCTGTGCAGTTCGCCAGAATTGATGTCTTGCACCCCTACAACACATTCATCCATGTCTGTGGCGGATGAAAGACAGTTAATATGATTAATTTAAATRATTCAAGCTTCGTGCACTAGAATAGCTTTATGTCCAAATAGTGATCAAATAGTACGATCACTTGTACTTCGGTTGATGCAGAGTTTTGGTCAACTCCCTTTGTATTTCTGAATATGGCAAACGGTTTGCCGAAACATTTCAAGTAAAAACCTTAGTTTCCGWAGCGTCGTTTGTCATTTTCGAATAATTTCACGAGAGGTATGACATTACGTATAACGAATCGATCAGTTTATTACATAAATGAACTTTTGTCATTCTACATTGTACATATTTTAAAATGCAGCTAAACCAAAACTTCAGCTTTGCACAACGAAAACTAGGCCTCCAAATCGTCCAGTTTAACATCTACTTAAACCTACTAGGGTTTTGTCTGCGCCCTAGTAAACTAAAACCCTACCAGCGATAGGATGAATGTTTAGGATAAGATTATAAGACTTACCTTTGCAGCTGGGCAAATGACCAAAAGAAGCATGCGAACTGTTACACGTAACAGATGATTTCGATTCGGTTTTGAATCCAGGTTTACAAATCAAGGTGATTGACGAGCCAATGTCATAATATTTTTGCTCTGGTAACCAGTTTCTGGCGTTAATTGGAATTTTGGGTCGACTGCATAAAGCTTAAGAAAAATAGAAATAAGACATAAAGAATATGAATTATAATCTTTTGCCATTATATTCTCTGTCAAAACATCTCATGTGTCAAGTACAAAATACTAGTTATATACCAATTTGGATAACGCAATGTTTTACCCAATCTACTGGGAATACTTTTCTTTGTCTACAGTGGCGGATCTAGGGGAGGGGTGCAGGGGGTGCGCACCCCTCCCTGGTTCGACTTTGTGCCCCTACTTCAAAGATTTAACCAATATATGATTATGTTTTTTCCCTTTGATTCTAAGGGGTGCACCCCTCCCTGGGTTAACTATGTGCGCCTGCACCCCTCCCTGAACAAATTCCTGGTTCCGCCCCGGGTCTAATATATTTACATATCATATCCATATCAATGCTTCATTGACATGTAAATATTATGGACAAAAAAAAAGTATTGCTAATGGATTTGAATTGAGTAAGACATTGCATTTAGCCAAATTGATGTATTGTCAGCATGATGTATCTGTGACAGAAATGAATGAATGATGAGGTAGAACACTTACGTTCACAAGAAGTACCATTTCYTTTATATCCTTCGCTACACTCACAGCGGTATGAACCAGGTGTATTAACACAGAGTGCATTCTTGTTGCACTTGTGGTATTTTGTCACATTATGATTGTTTARCTCCGTAGAGGGATCAACTCGGCACTCATCAATGTCTTGACAATGGAAAACAAGTAATAATTACGTAAACGTGATTTCTTTTGATTTSTAAATTAATGATAGTCTCTTACCTTTACATTTAGGTATTGCTTTGTTAAACTTTCCACTTGCCACACAAGTGATATTAAATTTAGGTCCCTGTCGCATTTGATAGCCAGTTTTGCATGTTACTACTGTTGATTCGTCGACGTGAAAGAACATTYGATGAGGAACATAAGTAGCGTATGGGATGGAATCAATCCTACATGCAACTGTAAAAATATATCACAGAAGACAACAAGTATCAATAGCCTGGCAGCAGCCTGGTAAACAAACTTGTACATCAATGAATCATAGGCCAGGCTGGATTAAGGAAACTTAATGCTAGGTAAATGAGCCAGTCTAATAATAATGACAACAACAACAACAACAACAACAATAATAATTTATTGAGTATTTTACAAAGGTTCAATACTCGACATATCCTATTAAGAAATTAAATATATAGAATTTAAATATATAAAATACAGCTTACAAAATGTACAACGTTACAAAAAATATTTAGTCTAGCCCCACCCTTATGCAATAATGAATACCTACCATAGACTTTAACTGCTGCTTCCACTTGAACTGTACCAGCTTCATTGGACGCAGAGCACATATAAAGTCCTTGATCAATTTTCTCAATATTCGACATAAAGAGACTGCCATTAGGGTACACTTTGAAATTGGGTGGCAGATTCAAGGAACCTTTGTGGAACCATTTAATGACAGGTGCTGGATCACCGATTCCTTTACAGTGAATGATAGGCGAAGAGGAAGATGGAACTTCAATATCCTTTGGGAAGACGTAAAATTTGGGTGGGACTAAATACAAAAAACATCAAATTRTCATAAGATGGGAGACAATATTTGACATAATTTGGACCACCAAATGGCAGGTACCCTCCCATAAATTAATGTTAAGTAAAATCATTAGAGAAAACTAACAAGAGGGAAAATACTGCCAAAAAAAWTATTAAAGAAGATTCGCGGCAAAACACAAGCATTTACATATACTTTATACATACTTAGCACTTTGAGAAAGGCCGTGGAGTTGTTAGAGCCAAGAGGATTTTTAGCAACGCACAAGTAATGAGCTTCATCGTTTTTCTGCACTAGTCTTATTCGAAGACTCATATTCGTTAGAACCAAAAAGCGTAGATCAAGCTTGTCAACGGAAACAGCAGTGCGGTTAGGGCCACGTTTATACCAGAAGATCTTGGTAGGAAGATTGGAATTTGTTACCTTGCAGTTCAGCATCACAGTTGCATTGAGAACTACTTTAGTATCAACCGGACCCAAAGTAATGTTAGGAGGACCTGGGAGCCGAAAAATAAATAAATAAATAGGAATTAGGAATAGGAATAGGTTTTACAAAAAATGGCTAGTCTTGTAGTCTAATAGGGGACGTTCATTCGTTTCATTCTCTTTTTTTTTTAATCAAAATAGCATAATACAACTATTTCAAAAATGGTTGCCCGAGCCAAAGGATAAACAAAATAATATCATCCATGAATGGAAGGAATTAGGAGCTCACTCCTAATTATTACTAAATTCGAATATTCTATAAATACGACTCCTAGCTAGTACTGGCATGTTAATGAGTTAGGCACTGAATAAGCAATTGAAGATCAGATAGATCATTCCAAGATCCAAAAATTGATGGAATGCCTTGTAYTTTTTATCATTATTCTAGTCAAGAACACAAATTAAAGCTAGTGTTGAGTTATTCAGTGTTGTTTTTAGTCAACAAAACCATTTTACAGGCCTTAATTGGTTTTTCGTGTTTGGTTTTATGCCCATAATTACTTTCTGGCTTGGAATGACTTATTGCCTATCACCTATCTAGTCCTGTGGCATAGACAAACTCTTATGAAATAGGTGTTTAAAGTGAAAGGGAAAAAAGAAAGAAGAAAGAAAGAAGGAAGACAGACAGGCAGACAGACAGACAGACAGAGAAACAGAAAGAGAGAAACTACTGACATACTTCCAACTTTGATGTTGAGGGACCCAAACTTGAAGTCTGCTGTGTTAGCCGCTGAACAGTAATACCGTCCAGAATAACTCATCCTTGCTTTTCTTACGTACAGAGATCCACTYAATGATTGTAAAAACTCTAGCTTTGACAGACTCTGTCCATCAGGCCAAGGTCGTGTTTTGCTCCAAAATATTTGAGCACGAGGGTCTGCAGTGACTTGACAATGTACCCAACCTGACTTGTTAACCTCTAGATAATTATCGTCTGCATAAGTTATGATAGGAGGTAGTGGAGAAATACCTGATGGTAATGATAATGTTTGATAAATGATTATGATAACCATAAGACATTATGATAAAGTAAAACAGACTAATAAGCTTACCATCTTGTGAAAATTCAAACAAAGTCGGTTGAAGGTCGCAAGCAGCTAGTAACAAAAGTCCCGTTTTGACATTACCAAGACCAATGCACAGTTTAGATTTTTCATGTATGATAATGAATTCATTGACACCCTTTTCTTGTTTTCTAAATGTATCACAAGGTCCGTCTCTCAAAGTCAACAGATTGTTGTTGTCAATTGTGACACATTTTCCACTACAAGTGTGTATTATTGCATTGTTCTTACGAAATGTTATCATAACACCCTTCCCTTGGCAATCAGATTTAAGAACCATGGATGTTCCATCAGCAAAGTTACACTCCTCTGATCCATGAGGACTCCAACAACGTTTATCACCACTTTTTTTCCGAACCACAACTGATACCATATCTACCAATTACAACAAAAACCTTAATCATTAAAACATCTCTGTCTGTGGGTAGATAGGTACCGTCAGATTAGTAGAGGGGGACAGATCTAACTACTGAAAACTTTAATTAAGACGTTGAAAGACTCGTTTGAAAGACTAGTCAAGCCAAAATCATAACAAAGACTAGATAACCCTCTAAAGGTTGCTGGGTTTGATAAACACTCCCCTAATCTACTAACTATGTTTTGACTTATCAAAAGTGCAATAGACATGCAGTATAAAGGTATATGACAGGCTATATAAATATATTATTAATCATATAATTATAATTATTATGTTATATCCTTGGCACCATATTTCTGTTGATTGCATAATGACCGGCCATGGCATGGATAATAAAAACTGATTGGGTAATATTACATGCATGTTTATGGCTCTCTGTCTTACCATTGTCACATCCATAAAGCTCTGCTCGTAGACATATGGCATTGCTCCATTCTAGAGGCATGATCCGAATGTACCTGGCTCTGAACCGCTGACTAAACCAGTTTGTTACAACATTGTAGTTATCTTTGTTGGCATAGAAATCCTTTGGAACCAAATAATAATAATTATTATTATTACTGTGAGTTCTTACAGTGCAACTACTCCAACCAAAGCCATCTCGACAAATTTTCTACAAATTAGCCAATCAAAAGTAGGAATCTGAACAATAGAATTGCTACAAATATCCATGGGTTTACACGGCTGAGAAGACTGCTGGCACTTTTGTTGACGAATATAAACGTGCTGTCGCATAGTAACGTGGTGATAAGATCTAACAGTGTCAGCCTGATTATATCTTCGTCTGGAAAAAACAAACTGTAATCATAAAGACTATGTTTTATATGGTTTCTAATTTGCTTTCCTGTYGTATTTGAAGTCGCACATTACTATTTTTCTATATCTTTGGTGACACAAATCACTAATTTTCGAAGAAAATTTATTACAAGCTCTTCTTCATCATTTAGTTTTACCAACCGGAACAACGGAAGAATATCTAAATTCAAAATTTGCTGCTAATCTATTGTCTAAATACTATTGGATAATTTGTAGAAAATTTGTCGAGGTGGCTTTGGTTGGAGTAGTCGCACTGTAAAAATCTCAATCTGCAATAATTAATAATAATAGAATAGAATAATCATGGTCAGTAATAATAAAATACAAAAAGTACTGTAGCAGAAAAGGCTAACAGTTGTAGGCTTATAGAAAAATATCCAATAATCCTATCTATGGGACCAAGGACCATGGCAGCAGTACCAAGTAGGTGCGAAGTTGTCTCTTTYTTTTCTGAAAGGAGGAAAACCAACACTCCATTCCCCTTATCATAATAATATGGACAAGTAATCATTACCTTTACAATCCCAAACTCTGTGTGATCCGTGAATGAATTACCGTCATCGCTTTTCATGATTTTAAATTTTGTTAACCAGTTTTGTGCATCACCAGCTCCTTGTGTCGCTATGCCAGAAAAGGTCATTTTTTTCTTCATGTCTATTTGTAAGTACTGATTTACATCAGACGTGCCAGCACACCATGAACCTCCCATACTAGCTGATTTAATGTTGTTTAACCGTCCATAGCTGGGTAGATAGTTAGCAATGTTGGATAACGCAGTAATCTGTGAATCCTCTATGCTACGATCGTCCATGCCCAAGGAAGTCGAACAAGCTTTAGAGGAAAAACAAGTGCTTTGAATATTAGAAATTGATATTTCTCATCAAATCTTACATTTTCACTATTTAATTTTTATAACAAAATAATGAAAAATATCCAGCAAACCTACGTTTAACTCCTTCTTCCGGGCAAGCATCAAGTTCTAAATGAATATCCCCACGAGGTCGACACCCACCACAGTAACCACCACATTCACCGTACACGATACTACGGTCCGTGTCTACTTCCAGGGTGTTATTAATATTACTAGGAGTACCATAGTGTTCCCAGTGCACCCCGTCCTAGCACAACAAAAAGTATGATAAACTAATTATATTAAGTCCTTTTGTATTCTGTTATTAATGCAGCATATAAAGATGTTTAATACATGAACTTTATACTCCGTCCTTGGTTACTGGATTAATTCCCCCCCCCCCCCTACTTATTCATCACAATAATAAAAACTGATCATTATATAACAACTCAAACCTTAAGATGAAATCCTGTTCCAGTCAAATCGATCTTAAATCGTCCTTTTCGACAGTTGTTTGGGCTTGCAGAGTAACAGTCTCCCGCCACTCCTAAAGGTACAGTTTTACCAACTTTGGTAGCAAACTGGAAATCATCAGATACGACTGTAGCACTATTTGGGCCCAAAATAAGGCGCACCTTTGTAAAGTTAGTTATTCCAGCTTCACTGTACAAGACACCACCTACAAACAGATTCATTTTACATGATTGGTTGTGAACTAACAGCCAAGCTTATTCAAGGTATATTGGACCATATCATGACTRCAAAGTACTATGTGCATGGTAATTAGTTGAAAGTTGAAAGCCACACCCTTTCCCCAAAAAACGTTATCAATTGAGCACTTTGAACGTTTTCCTTCTGTGAGCAATAAATAGAACAACAATGACAATGGTTTCATTTGCATCTGTTATAGGAATAAATCATAATACTATAAACACCTTTCTCCAGTACGTATTTGAAATACTTACCAGTTTGTTGGTCACACTCATATTTCGCACTTTCTGGTTGCTTGTAATCATATATCAGAGCATAATTAGATACTGGACCACTCCGCAGTGAAATGTACTCTTTAGGTGAATTGGTGTTCATTCCATGACAATAGACACTTGCAAAAGCTTCACATTTCACTTTGAGTTGGATGAAATACTCTTTATCACGTGAGCCTTTTCCTGTCATCTTTATTCCTGCACAGCCACCTGAGAAGTAAGGATATCAATATACAATACTATTTTTTTATGTGCTTTTTTCATATAAAATTGMTTCATCTACCTCTATAAAATGATTATATCTTAGTTTTATTAGAGGTACATGAATGATGACAGTGTCTTCATAGTCAAAAATAAGTATATTGAAAACAACAATATAAAACCTGTTTGCACACTTACAATCAAGTGCATGAATGCAAGCTTTAAATCACTGCAGTGATATCACTATTTATATTGAACTTTTTCAACTAAGTAATCATTCCAGTATACTATTAAAAAAGTATTAGATGATAGAGTGCAAATAAAAAAATATACCCGTGAAATAGATAGGCTAGCTAACTTATTACTAACCTAAAGCCTAAAGTCTAATTCGTTAAAATAGGCGAGCTGTGACGGGTAAACTAGTGCATGTGTGCTACTCAAGTGCGCACATTTTAAAATATTTTTAAAAACACTTACAAAAACTGAAACAATATTTTATTGTACATGCTTTTCCTTTCATATAATTTGACGGACCAATTTAACATGTTCGCATTTTGGTATCTATTATCTATTGAGTTGTTACTCTAAAACGCCCGTGCCCTTGTCATGCCTCACTGAATTCCTATGTCTTATCTAAATAAGCGCTAACTATCTCCTATTTCATCCTAACTATTTCAAAGSTACATTATTTGCAATCTATTAATATCACAATATTAGTAAAAAATAATTCAACATGATTTCAATAAGGTTATTTATAATCCTTACCACAGAATTCATAAACCTTTAAGGACTGTAGCTCACGATTTGCAAGAGAGGGTGGGTTGGAGCAGATGCCAGAGAATTTAGCCAGATGTTGTGAAATGTTATATGTACCATAGAGATTGCAGTCACAGGTTAGTGGATTGCCATTAAGATGTCTAGAATTTTTAGAACCAAATCATGTTACAGTTTAGTATAAATTGTAATCTTCTTTGTGATGATTGTATAATTTAATACTAGATTTGATGGGTGGTGTACGTATACCAAATGTTCTATTAATCATGTAGGCCTGCAGTATACMTGTGATATAAAGAATGCATGCTGGGAGCTTTAAAGAAGTGAGAAAAGTCACAGAGTATATGTCTCTAGTGATTATTTGATTTCTCAAGTTTTACATCTACAGGGGTRTTTACACCACAATATATATAGTCGCAAGCAGATGTTTTATATTAATTGCTTTTATGAGATAAAAACGTTTAGCAGGGCATGTTTTCTATCATCTGATATAAATATCAGGTTATTCACATTATTTCACCAATCAGTATCTCAAATTATTCTATAAACTATACAAAATAATTATAAAGATACCAACTAAAAGTCACAGAGTTGCTCTATCAAAACCTACCTTACTGTGCAGACACTCAAACCATGAACACTTCAAGGTTTTTTAACATTTTTCGAATCATCCAATCACAGTTGAAGCCAGATTMTTACCGGTTCCAACACTTTTTCGTGCAATTCTAGAGTCTCTTGTGTCGTTGTTGCAATGATTAAAGTTTTTTTTTTTTTAATTTACAATTTAAACCCTATTGTACTTTGTCAATGACGTTTCTGATATTTTTGTTTCATTTTTGTTAATTATTGAAGTTATGCACTTTGTGCCACAGCTTTGCATACTACCACGTTTTAATGTGTCTAGCAGCTTCATTATAGTTTATATGGAATGAGCTAAAAATAAAACAGCTAAAGATTTTCTGCCATTCATTGTGATTAGATGGCACCTTTAATATGTTTGATTGCTTTGTTTCTACTGAGAGCTGCGATTGGATAGTTGTGAAAAAAATTCAAAAAAACCTTGAAGTGTCTGCACTGTAATTCGCCTTGCCACACCCTCCACCTAACGACCCAGTTCCCCAAAAAAATTTGAATCTGCCATAATAAGTGATTCTTATTATGACCATTCATACTTTTTTAATCATATTTATGATATACCCTAGAAATCAAGCGATTGAAAATACCACCGTTAGGAGCAGCAGAACCAAAGGGTGAAACAACATTATATATGATAATATATATGACTGTGTACTCACACTTCACGTAAAGATGGATTGTAATTGAAAACATCATGAGGTAAGGTTTGTAAGTTATTGTTACTCAAGTCACTGAAATGAAAATAAATCATGTATAAATATGCAATGATTCTTAATGAAGTTAACTCTTTCACATGGTAATAAAGATTTTTATAGTATACTCAACAAAATTACTCGAATTTGATTGGTCGAGAGGAGTACAATTATAGCGTTAATTGTACTCCCTAGGTGTACCGAATTAAGTCGCTATGGCAACACAGCCAAAACAATGTCAAAACAATTATTTTCTATCATTTTGTACTTAAAAACATAAATAAAATTTCAAAGCCGTAAGAACTAATCTTTTTTATACATTTCAGTTGCGCAATGGACTGAAAATCGGCCGCCAAATAGACAAAGATGGACGGCGTCACTTCACATTTTTTACTGAAATTTTGTTGAGTGAACTATAAACAAAAWATCGCACCATCTTCTCGTACAATTTGGAATTAATAGACACTCGTAATGTTTTGAAAGTTCTTTAATTGCACTCGCCTAAAGGCTCACSCAATAGCCCACTTCCGAGATACGCTTTGTTTGTCAAGTACAAAGGTTCMAGTATGAGGCTCCRTGCTAAATGCTCAGTCATTCGTGACAAGAGAAAAGAATAAATTGCATTCAGCACTAAGCCTCCAACTGAAACCTTTGTACTTGACAAGCGAAGTGTATCTCGGAAGTGGGCTATTACAAGGACTTTCAAAACATTACTCGTGTCTATTRATTTCCAAATTGTACTCGAGATCGTGCGATTTCCTATACAAATTGACAACTCTTAAGGGGCACATGTGGATGAAAATGCCCCAGTTTTTGAAAGTCCGAATAATAATTATTGAAGTATTTGAGGATAATATGACTCAATTACAATTATAAAWATCAGAGTAGTGAAAATTTTAGCCCAGGAGCCACTTGCTGTTGAGATATTTTGGGTTAAAAGTGAAAAGAACAATAGGGTTGAGTAAATGACGTCATTTACTCACAATTTAGATGCTGAATAAAATTGATAAATTTTTTCCGCCACTTTTGACTGTCAAGGAAACATGTTGCTAGTTATCTGAGCCATATAGATAAGTTTAAACAAGTTTCAAGGCATTTCCAATTTTCATTGATTTTCATCCAAGTGGTCCTTTAATACTCCAGTGTATGCAGGCCTGTACTTCCGAGATTGGAAAGCGAAAGCAGAATCTAGAATAACTAAATAAGCAACTTCCGTATTCRAGGTTATAAGGAGTCAATAAGCATATGTTTTAATATAGATGTAATGTTGTTGCAACTTACACTTTTTGTAGTTTTGGAAGTGTCCTAAAGACATTTGTATCCAACCAGCTTATTACATTGTTCTTTATATTTCTAGAAATAAGCAGCAAGTTAATYTTATTACTATAACCAATGCATGAATGTTTGTATGAAAAATATCACATTTTTAGTACCCCAGCATCCAGTTGTTCAAGAATTTTATCCATAAYCATTTAGCTGATCATATACATAGTTTAAAATGCACAGTGAGAATAATTTATAAATAAATAAAATAAATAAATTAGCTTGGAGCAGTATAAATTAACTAAATAGAGAACTCTTGGTCACCGAACTGGATGTATAGAGAACTCTTGCCTATTCAACTGGAACATATACTCAACACTGAGTTTTACAAGCAATTTAAAAAATTCATGGTTGTTTTGTATTGGAGACATAGATCGTCGCCATTGGCTGGGATCTATATCTACCGACCATCACTCATATTCTAAACATTGCGTACAAGTTTCAGTTGATTGAACTGCAGACAATATATAGAKTATGCCTCAATGATAAATATATTGTCGTATAGTGTCATTTTAGCCTAGAAGGTATTTCGACTATTAAACTATTTTGCTTCAGTTTAATGAGGGTAATAAAGAATAGATAATTATTTTTGAAAATTTTGCCAAAAGGTATTAAATAGAACTAACTTTCTTATAATTAATGTGTAGTAATGATCCAGCTGTGTTAATATTCAATTTACAYAAAATAATAAAATTCTAGAAAATTTAAAAATAATTTTCTAGTTCATTCTCAAYTTTCATAAATCAGGTAAATGTTTAAGAGGGATTGTCCTAGTTTCCACTAATTCATTCCTTGTAAAATATTTAATAGGTGATAACATTTTAAAGTTAAACCTTACCATGCCATAAGCTCAACTAAAATAAGCTTAAATACTAAAAATATACCTCTGCATTTTTTAAATTATTGTAATATTCTTGAACGTTCAAGCGGATATTTTGTACTTCGAGAAGTAAAAGTATATTTCATACTTCGAATATATTGTGCACTTAAACACACTTTACTCATTACGTACTCGAAATTAAACGTGCAAACAGTTGACTGATCTTGTTGAGTATTAAATTTCGAAAATGCTTGAATCATCATATCTCGATCTTGCGGTACTAGTTTCATTATCATCAGACAAGTCTTTGGGACCTAGACCTATGAATAGTTCGTTCAGGGTTATCAGTAAATGCAAGAAGTGCATAGATTAACAAGCTGAATGGTGAGGATTAGCAACTCAGACGCCAGGCTTTAAGGATGACACTTTAAAGTAAATAGTATTCAATAAGGTTTCAACAAGCGGATGTAGTTGTTCCAAACCTTCGGCCCATCGACCCAGAAATTATTTATTCTCGCTCTTTTTCACAAATTATCACTTTTATATCTCAAGAATAGCAGATAAAGAGTTTTCGATTATTATATAAATAAATAGTTTATAGCTTTTTTATAAATAATGGAGTAGTAGCTTACTAAGTGCTAGAATAAATWAATTAATTTGAGAAATACACCTTAGTACTTTATATATATTATGAACGGCGGTTAAATAAAAAATAGTTTTTCTTATTGATTAATAAAAATACTTACTATTTAAAGAGTAAGCACCAGCACATCGCATAAAACTACTTACAATTCCGTGGTATCGCTTGGTATTGTGTTGGGTACGCTAGGTAAAGCTCTTGCCGAACAGTTCACAATTTTTTCATAAGTATCTTGGCCCGGTATTCCTCTAGTTGAGCAACTACATCTTCCTGCACAGCTTTGAGAACAAGAACATCGAAGCCAACTCAGCAGGAGAATCACAAAACGAAGCCATATTCCTCTAGCCATGTTCCTCGAACACTGTCGGATTGAAATGCAAATGATCTGTAYTAGAATAGTGACCGCAAGCAGTCACTACGTTACTGAAGATGCTGGATCCCCCCCCCGGGGCTGGATCGATGAAATGACCAACACAGCAATGACGATATTTTYCCGCTTCACTTTGGAACCTGTTTTCTGAAGTCGCAGAACAGCAACAATAATGTCGGCGCCACAAGAGTGATTAGAAAGCGATTTTATAATTACAATGCAAGTGGTCARGCTATAGACTTGCGTGACATAACTAGCAGAATATTTGCGTGACTTATTTTTGATTTGGGACAGRAATTTAATATAGGCCCACACTTTTTCATGGTAGCTTCGTTCGAATTCCTYTATTGCATTTTGCTTTTTTTTTATTACTTTAATTACTTTAATTGTCACAAACACCCCTCCAAACTCTATAAAATCTCATTTCCAAAGCAATCTCAATTCCAAAATTTCTACATAGTTGCTCCCCATTTACCTTGGCAAACATTTTGGTCTGGCTATGACCTTCTCTCGTTGAGTTAAAGTGCTACT